CAGTAATCCCTTCTACAGTATTCTTTACTTATTCACTTCCAGTGATGGGGGAACCACTACTTCTAGAGAAAGCCCATTTCACAATTGTTAGGACAAGTCTTTCCACATAATATATCTGCTGCTGCTCTTTAATGTCTACCCCTTGCTTCTAGTTCTATTGCCTGAAGCAATTAAAACAGCACCAAATATAACCTCTAGCTATGTTGTATAATAAGTGTTTTATATATACATATATATCACTTCCTAAATGTTAATTAAACAAATGTTTGGTGAAGTCTGGTCATTCTTCTATCAGACATCTTTTTAAGTAGTTGAGGACAGCTCCTCTAGGTCCCATTTTCTCCAGGCTAAACAGTTCTAATACCTTTAATTTATCCTTTTTTTTTTAACCAATTCTGGTCTCTTTACTATCTTCTGGGTATGACAGTTTGCCCTTTAAATTTTTTTTTAATTACAAAGATCTATTTTCTTTTTCTCTTACCTCATCTTCTTCACCCCCATTGGAAAAAAATAAAAAAACCTTGCACAGCCAAGCAAAACACATTCTAACACATTGACTATGTCCAGAAATGTTTCATTCTGTACCCTGAGTCCATCACCTTTCTGGAAGGAGAGTCACATTATCATTGGTCTTCTGGAATATTTGACTTATCAGTTTAAAATTTTTTGAAGTTGCTGTAGTATGAATTGTTTTCCTATTTCTGATTACTTCATTCTGTAACAACTCATGTTTTTTCAGGTTTCCATTGAGGCAGCTGGGTGGTACAGTGGGTAGAGTGTGGGAATTGGAATCAGGAAGTCCTGAGTTTAAATCCTGCCTCATATACTTACTAGCTGTGTGATCTTGTGCAAGTCACTAAACCTCTCTGTGCCTCAGTTTCTTTATGTGTAAAATAGGGAAAATAATAGCACCTACCTCCCAGGATTATTGTGAGGATGAAATGAGCTACATTTATAAAGTGCTTTACAAAATTTAAAAGGCTATATAAATGCTAGCTATTATTTCTGAAGCTATCCTCTTCATCAATTTTTAAGGCACAATAGTATTCCATTATATTCATATTCCATAAATTATTCAGCCATTCTCAGTTTATGGGCATTCCCTTAGTTTCTAGTTCTTTGCCACTACAAAAATTGTTGCTATAAATATTTTTCATAGGTCCTTTTCCTCTTTCTTTGATCTCTTTGTGGTATAGGCCCAGTAATGGTTTCACTGGGTTAAAAGGTATGCACAGTTTAATGACTTTTGGGGCATAGTTCCAAATTGCTTTCCAGAATGGCTGGAATTCACAGTTCTATCACACAATTCACAGTTCCATTAACAGTGGAATGGTTTGTTCTTCCAAAAAACCTTCTGCAAATTAAACATAATACCCCAGATGTGGTCTGACCAGGTTAGAATGAATGTACTAAGTCATTTTCACTTGGCCACCATATTGTGTGGTTAACTCATAGTGAGCCTATAGTCCACTAAAACATTCAAATTGCTTCTTTACAAAAAACTACTGTCCAGCCACTCCCCCTATCATTTACAAATGCAATTGATTTTCTTTTTGTGGAGGAAACCTAAATATAGAACTTTGTGTTTAGAACTTGTATAGTAGTCTTATTATGGTCAGGCCATTATTCTTGCTTTTTGAGGTCTTTTTGGACCTCTACTGTGGTCTAATGTGTTAGATGTCCCTGTGAAATTTATTTCATGGGCATGCCAAAAAGATAGTGAAATACTCCATTCTAGACTTTCCAAGTAGACATCTTTCCATGAACATGATTCTTTGGGTCAGATCATTCTATTAACTTTAATATCATCTATCCCCCACTTTCCCATCTTTTTTTAAGAAGGGTAATAGGAAAAACTTTTTCAAATGCTTTACTGAAACCTAGGCATATTCAGTGGCATTTTCTTGAACTACCAGTGTTAATTCTGTCTAAAAAGGAAAGGTAGTTCATCTGGCATGACCATTCTTAATGAAGCTACCATGAATTTTACTGATCACTGCTTCCCTGTATGGGTCCTCCCTCAACGCCTTTATGAATTACTGTGTTTAAAAGAAATCATCACCAGGTGGCCAAACTTCTGGTCATAAGCCTCTTTGAACTTTGCTAAGATGATCCTTAGATAATACTTTTCATTCGTTGCTGGGCTATGGGGCACCATCTTTGAGAACCAGAGTCACTTCCACACCAATATGAGGCATTGCATTCCATCCTCCAGAATGATGCTACTCTTTCCAGGGGGCATTATGCTATCGGGTTTTTCTCCTGTCTTCTTTTCCTTGATGAATTCTAGTTTACAGATTGCCCTCCCTTAATATGATTTAGAATGTGAGTGACAGATGGGGAATGCCCCTGAATAAATAAATGAATGCCAAAATCATCTTTGAACAGGGTACTAAACTTTTTGTGTGTGTCCTGGACCCCTTTGGCAGTCTAGTGAAGCCCATGGATTCCTTGTCATAATAGTGTTTTTAGATGAATAAAATACATAGGATTACAAAGGAAATTGGTTACATTGAAATACAGATGTGTTTTGCCCCCCAAGATCATGGACCCATATGGACTGTGGGTAGCAAAGAAAGCTAAATCAACTCTTATTTTGTCTGCAGTTCCTCTGTCTTGCCCCTGACCCTGTTTGTATTGCAACCCTTATCCTGTCTTCGAGAATTCTATCTACTAAGGCTGGGTTACAAGAGATAGCTAGCAAGAAGAAGAGCTTTTGCTGTTACTAGCCCAGAAATAGCAACTTTGATTGTCCAGTCAAAGGATACCATACCCCCTATTCCTGTCCTGCAAGCCCCCTATCAACAGCCTTTTCCAATTCAGAGTTAATCCATACTTAATTTACCTCCTGCCTAAATCAAAACTTTTCATCCTTTTTTTTTTCCTTTGGAGATCCATGTGGTTGAGGCTCCCTTGCTGGTGAACTCAACAAATCATCATTGTTCCTAAATTTATAATATTCAGGTTTCGGTTATGATTTTGGTTTATTTCAGCACTGACAATTTTACCCCCAGGATCATATGCTAAGAACCCCTGTTTCAGACATTTATGTAAGAGACTTATTATTCTTTCTGACTTTTTTCTTTGTCCCTTTCTTCTCTATTTTAAATTTCTTCATTTGTAGATCCTGATGGTGATACTCTGGTAGTGAGACATCCTGAGTGAGAAGATCTCGAGCTCAAAAGGGACTTACTTCAGTTAGTTGCAAAGACAGTTTGAGATAGGATCTTGAGGAGGCACAGTCAAGAGAGGGAGAGGGAGGGGGAGAGAGAAAGAGAGAGAGAGAGAGAGAGAGAGAGAGAGAGAGAGAGAGAGAGAGAGAGAGAGAAAGAGACAGACAGACAGACACACACACACACACACACACACACACACACACACACTCTAAGACTAAGAAATAGAGGCATAGGTTGAATGATGGAGCTCTGGGAGCCCTAGACATGTATGAAAATTGGCTTATGGGGAATCACGTCCCTTCCCCTCCAGGTCTTACAACTCTAGAAATGATTGAGAATTGGACCTCCCCTAGGTGAGATAGTTTTCTCTCTCCTGATTTGTACCGATGTCTTCTCTTAAGCCCTGCAGAAGAGCTCATTTATTCTTGTGTATTCTTTGGTGTCCTAAACTGTAGAACATTTCTGATTTCTGTTTGCAGTTTGGCTTGGATAAATGGGTTTACTTACTATTCATCTTGATATTTTGGGTAACAGATGTTTAGCTGGAAGAGACTAAGCTGGGAGTGTTAACTAAGAGATACTCTCCCCCTTAACAATGAGTAGATTATGACTTTCTTTTTGAACCCAAACTCATGCCCCTAGCCTAGAGATAGTTTAGGGGTGGCAAACTGATATAATTCTAGCCTGATGTGCCTCTTAGAGACTGAAGGAGAGATCAACTCTCAGCTGATATCTATCCATGAAACCTGCTAGCCCTGTCTTTATATTTAGATAACCCATGCATATACATATCCTACAGAAAAGTGGAATAAGATATAGGGGAGGGTTATATTTAGAAATGAAGATGATCTAAAATAAAAGATATCAATAAAATATATATTTTTAAAAATAATGTTGGAAGTTGCAAACTCAGCTGAGAATAGAGAAAAACTAAAGATAACAAAAAAGATAGTTTTAAAAAAGCCATATGGGGGAAGAAAAGGATGAAAGAAGGACTAGGACCTCCTTCTTGGGGTGGATGGAATAATGATAAGAACAGATAATGATACTGCTCAATTCTTTTGTTTCTGGTTGTTGTTTTTCCTTACAAGAAGGATGGCCTTTAGGAGGTGAACACAGTATGACCACTTCCATTCCCTGTATAAGGAAACTAAATCACAGTGCAGGCTGGTGTCACTTTAAATTCTGAGCCTCCCAAGGACAAAATTTAAAGAAAGGGTCACTTTCACTCACAAATTAAGAATCTAAGCCTTCAGTATTTATCCTGCCAATTTTGGGGTTTAAAGTTATCAATTTCAGTATCTTTTTTTTTTTTTTTTAGTAATGCTAAATATTAGCATTATATATGCTGTAGATCTTAGTGTAGGAAGAAAAAGGATCATTTGTTTGGAAAAGGGGAAACATTATAGTGATACAATGTGGCCCTGTGATTCCCTGGTTAATAGTATATCTCTAAAGTCTTAGGAAGGTTATTGTAAAACTAAGAAGCTTTACAGATATTTCAGGTCCCGAAATATCTTCCTTGTGGAAAGGTAAGAAGTGTCTGGGAATGTATCCGGAAGGAGAAATCCTGACCAGCTCTTATTTACTGACTTAGTTTTAAACCATTAAATTATTCCTGGGTATTGTATTTTGTCGGTGACCCGTCTCTCGCTTAAATCAAGTGCCTGGTGAAGGTGGAGGTGGCTTGCACCTGGTCTCCAATCCCGTCCCCGTGTTAAGTTTTGTCTCCATCCTGTTCCTGCCACGTTCCGTTTTTTACCTTCCTGCCTGTTGGAAAGCCTTTGCTCGGCAGAGTCTTGCCTCACTAGAGCAGGTGCAACGCCAGGTAACCGGGTGGTGTGGAGAGCTCTCACTCCTATTCGGCGCCCAGATCAAGGAGGGCGTCTACCTTCGCGGGCTCGGAGGCGGTCACTTCAGGGATCTCGAGCTAGTGGACGCTTAGAGCTCCCCCAGCCGGGGGATGTGGCATCGGCTCGACCCGGAACTGTCCGGCCGGCGGGAGCCCAGAACGCTGCATGGGCCAGAGGAGCCGCAGGCGCCCAGGCAAGCTCGCCAGTGCGGGGAAAGGAGGAGGACGCGGGCGCCCCAGGGACATGACAGCTTCTTCTCGAGACCCCAAGGACCAGGAGCTCTCGGGAACTGAGATCGGCGGGGCAGGGGTGCGGGAGCAGAGGAAGACCCTGGATGAGGAAAAGGAGGAGGAGGAGGAGGAGGAGAAAACTTCATCACTCTCTCGGGACCCACTGTCCCGAGGGGCGCAGTTACTACGCGCGGGGAGAACTAGCGGGGACAAGGACAGTACGGAGTGGGAGGAGGATCCCGAGCAGCGTCCACCCCCGTGGGGGAGGTCGAGCAGCAGCACGGCGTCCCTGGTGAGCGGGCTGCTCACTGAGCTGTATAGCTGCCCAGAGGAGGACGATGGGTTGGGGGGCAACTGGGGCCGGGGACGCGGGGGACGACAGGACAGCGTGGACAGTTCCACCGAGGCCTCGGGCGGCTCCGACGCCTTCCTAGGCGGCCGCGTCCTGCAGGAGCTGCTGAAGAGGCAGAGCCAGAGGCACCAGCTCCAGTACCTGGGGCAGAAAGGTGAGATAGGGGCTGCCCTCTGGGCACAGCGCCAGGGCTTGCACCATCTCGGGATAGGGACTCCATCCCACTCCAGCTGCCGCCTGCCCGCGTTTGCCAATCACGCCCCACCAAACCCTCCTTGCCTTTCCTGCTCCCTTCCTGCGCATCCTAGACTTCTTTCTGAGCTTCTGGGGAAGAAACTTTAGTAACTGCTCTACAAATAAGCAAGCTAAACGAAACCTTTTCTCTTTGTTCAGTCGGGGCTGGGCTGTGCAGTATCTGAATTAGGTAGGAACGCAAATATCCTGTTTTTAAGTTCCTCTTCAGGTGCTTCCTTTTAGTGGGTTTAGAGAGAAGCGTCTCTAGAGAATTCCTCTGCTATGACCTGGGGTACAGGTGCATTCATCACCAAACAGCAGTTTCTGACGCTTTTCCTAAACTGCCTGTCGAAATCTGAGCCTAATTGACTCCTCTTTCCTGGGGTGGAATTTGTGAATTCTACTTGAGCAGCTGTTCACTTACAGGGATTGCTTAACCCTTTTTGTGTGTATGTGTCACTGATCTCCCTGGCAGTCTGGTGAAGCCTATGGACCCCTTCCCAGAAATGTTTGTAAATGCATAAAATAAAATACATAGGATTAGAAAGGAAACCAATTATATTGAAATTATCAAAGTTAAACAACAACAACAACAACAGCAGCTCAAATTCATAGATCCCACGTTAAGAACCCCTGAAGTAGAGGGAGGGGGGTGGGATCTGTGATTTCATTAATATAAGGAGCTCCCAGGTACTATGGCAAGTCAGCAGCTTCTCTGCTATAGTTTTACATGAGTTGGCTAAAATAAGAAAAAATGAGCGACTTATCTAGGATCTCACAGTGGGTGTTTGAACCCAGGTTGTCTTGGCTCCAAAGGCAGCAATTCAGCCCACAGCTCCATGCTGTGTGTCTCATGTTGTATTCTTTCTTAATTTTTATTTTCAGTTCCAAATTCTGCTCCCCACCCCATCCACCTACTGGGAAGGCAGGAAATACAATGCCCATTACACATATATCCTGTTGTCTTACAGATTTTCTGAAGTTAATGACAGAAGGCACCAGCAGAAGAGTGGCCTTATAGGTCTGTGTGATTACTGAAGCTTTAACTTAAACAAACACCCAACCTCCTTTCCTGGCTTTTAATAGTGTTTACTGAGGCACAGTTAACTGGTCATAGCAGTTGAGAATCAGAGTATGTGAATTTCATTTCTATCAGAGCTCAGAGGCCCTCTAAGGGGACTCCCTAGGTAATCATTTTCCTAATAGTGAGTGACAGTTGTCTATCCATTGAGATATTACAGGATTTAACTGGTACCTTTTGTCAGTGGGTTTGAGAGGATCTGCATGGGGAAAATGTCCTCTCTTCCCCCAGGGAAGAGAGGCCAATCTAGTGTTGCTTTTGTTATGACCAAACCAATGTATAATGTTAAAGGTGCTAATATCTTTATTTAGATTTTCCTCACCAGTTCAAAAGGGCACGGCTTTTCTGTACTAATAGTTATTAAATATATTTTTTCCTCTCTAGGAACAACAAGCCCCCATGTAATAAAATGAAGCTCGGTGTGGATAACAGATTGCTAGGCAACAACCACATTTCTTGCGACTGCTGTCCTTGTGCTAAATTGACTACACTAGGAGAGAAAAGAGGAGAACACAATGGCTTCTTGTCTCCTCATTGTAAAAATCAGCCTTACTGGTGCCAGAAAAATTTAAAAGGAAATGAATAAATCTGTTAGCTTTCTGAAATCTACATAAACAACTCTGGGTTTCCTCTGCTTCCTGGTGAAGACTTTTTTTTTTTCCTAACTCATTGTTGTGAATGACTCCCGGTACCTCCCCCTGCCATCAGTGTCAGCTGGAAATACACAGATTTCATTTTATCTGAGTTTTTGGCCCCATCTGTGGTTTTTGTTTTTGCCCGATGTTCAATGAAGAAATGGTTTCCTTAGATTCCAGCAAAATCCGGCATTAAAAGTTATGATCCAGAACTCCCTTATTATTCTTGAGGAGTCCACTTTCCCTATTGTGGATGTTTTTGGTATTAATTTCCCAGTGGAAAATGAGGTTTGGTAAATTGATTTTAAAGAAGAGATGAAGTGTAACTTTGTTAATAGTTTTTCTTCTAAAAATCTACTGGTGTGCTAGTCTTTCACAAAAATCTATGTTTAAAATCGTTTATACTCAAGGGACAGAATTACCTGCAGTTTATCGAAAAACTTTGTTTCCTTGTCATGAACTCTAGTAGAATTAAAGTTGGGTTGCACTGTAATATAATTTCAGAGATTTAGAGTTGGAAGGGACCTTAGAAGGGACCTTCTAATCCATCTATTTCATTTTATTGATGAGGGTGCTGAAACCTATACAGGCTGAGTCTTGCCTGAGGTTCTACAGGTGGTGGGGAATGGTAGAGCCAGAGCCTCTGATTCCATATCCCATGGTCTTTTCCTTTATTTTTATTTATTTAAGAAACTATACCAACCAACCAATCAACAATCTGGCCTAGCTCATGTTGAGCTATGAGAATACCCTGGTAGGTATTGGTCTTATCATAGACTTCTCGAATAGACATGCCATGGTGGTATCACTGGATTAAAGGATATACACAGTTTAATGACTTTAGAGGGGACAGTTAAAATTGCTTTTTAGGAAGTTGAGCCAATTCGCCAAGTCTACAAACAATGCCTCTCTTCTCATAGCCCTTCCAACAATGGACATTTTCTTCTTCTATCACTTGAACCAATCTGATAAGTATGAGGTTTAAATTCAGAGTTGTTTTTAGTTTACGTTTCTCTTCTTATTAGTGATTTGAAACATTTTATCTTCTAATTGTTGACGGCTTGTATTTCATCTTTTGAAAACTGCTTGTTCCTATCATTTTATCATTTCTCTGGACTTGGCCCTGTGCTAACATTTCTGTCAGTGACTTGAATAAAGTCAGAGATGTCATGCTCATCAGATTTACACTTGACACAGTTCTAAGAAGTATAGCTAACACATTGACAAAATTGAGAAGGATCTTGGCAGATTAGTACATTGGATTAGATATAAAAAGACGAAATTCAATAGGAATAAATGTCAAGTCTTTAACTTGGGTATGATAACCAATTTCATAAATATAAGATGGAGGAGAGCATGGATGGACAAGAGCTGTTCTGAAAAGGATCTAGGGCTTTCAGTGGACTTAAAACTCAATCTCAATTGGCAGTTGTGATGTGGCAGCAAAAAAATTGAGTGAAAAACTTGGTTTGAGTTAAGAGGGGCAGAGTTTCCAGGGAGATGATAAGTCCATTATTTTTCTCTTATTAGCTTTCATCTGGAGTATTGTGTTCATTTCTGGGCACCATGGTTTAAGAAAGACATTGCTAAGCTGAATAGTGTCCCAAGGAGGTCAAACAGAATAGTATAAAGCTTGTAATTCATGACATATGAGGACCAGTTGGAGAAACTGAATATACTTAATCTGGAAAAAAAGGATGAAGGCGGATAGAAGTTGCAAATGAGACAATTTAGGCTTGATGCCAGAAAAAGCTTCCTAATAGTTAGAACTGTCCAAAGGTGGAATGGCTTGCTTTAGGAGGTGGTAGGTTCCCCCTCCTTAAAAGTCTTCAAGCAGAGGCTTGGTGACCACTTGTGTGGTGATTCATTTTGTCTGTGGTTTGGATACAAACCACACAAAAGACAGCTGTTGAGATCCTATCTAGCTCTCAGATTCTGTCATTCTAGGTTTTTGTTGAGGAAGGATTCTTGTTCTTATTTTTTGAATCAGTTCCTTAAATATCTTGGATATCAGACCTATATTAGAGGGATTTGCTGTAAAGATTTTTCTCCCAGTTAATTGTTTCCCTGTTAATTCTAATTGCATTTGTTTTTGCAAAAACTTTTCAACAAGTCAACAAGCATTTATTACATACTTACCATGTGCCAGGCACTATGCTAAGCTCTCGGGACACAAAGAAAGAAAAAAAAAAGTCTGTCCTTAGGGAGCTTACAATTTAATGAAGTAGATAACATGTAAATCACTATGGGTAAACAAGATATATACGAGATAAATTGGGGATAATCAACAGAAGGCAGGCACTGGCATTAAAGGGTATCTAGAAAGGCTTCTTCTAAAAGGTGGGATGTTAGCTGAGACTTGAAGGAAGCCAGGGAAGCCAGTGGAGACAAGGAAAGAGAGAACTGTAGGCATAGGCTACAGCCAGTGAAAATTCACCAATCTGGGAGATGGAGTGTCTTGTTCTAGGAAGAGGCCACTGTTATGGGATCACAGAGCACATGGAGGCAGTAAGGTGGTTTTTGTTGTTCATCCTTTGTTCTCGAAGAGGACCAGAGACATCAGGAGGGTGATGTCTTGACTTGCAAGTGAATTGGATTTAAGTGAGGCAGAACTGTGCAAAGTCATCAGCCTTACTTTTTCCTCTAGAGTCATCAAGTCCAGTGGCAAGACATAGGTCAAGGCAACTGGTGATGGCCCCAGATGCAATGGGAGACTTTGGCCTTTTTAAGCTAAGGGCTTTCCCAGGTCTCAGTTTGTCTGAGGCAATGCCCATTCAGTAATTAAGGGCTAGGAAAGAATTGAGGTAAAAGATGGCCTAGTTTGTCTTCATAAAAGAGTCAGTCTGGGGGGGACACCCTTAGAGTTTCTGGCCAGAGCAGAAACAAGAAGACTGGAAAGGTAGAAAGAGATCAGATTATAAAGGGCTTTAAAAGACAAACAGATTTTACATTTGATTCTGGGGGCAATAGAGAGCCACCTAGGTCTGCCCTCTCTGACAGTGTCGGAGAAGGGAAAGTATACGAGAAATGTTGGGAGTAGAATCAACAGGACTTGGTAACTGATTGGATGGGGTATATATGAGAGAGTCAGGGGAGAACACCCATACTTCCAGCTTGAGTGATGGGAGGATGGCAGTGCCCTTAACTGTAACAGATTAGTAAGGAGAAGGGGATGGTTTCGGAAGAAAGGTGAGGAGTCCAGTT